GACCCTTTAGCGTGCCGTTTTGACAGAATGCTATTGCTTTCTATCGTACTATCATTTACTTTTCTCCTGAAAATTTCCTCCAAATAAACATTAGGTGGTAGATTCGAGCGCCTGCCTGACACAGCTAGAGGTGGAGGAGGACGGAAGTCTGTACGCGAGTGTGACAATGCCCTGTATAGAGGTAGGGACAGTCGGTGGAGGCACACGACTTCCTGCGCAGCGCGCTTGCATTGAGATGCTCGACCTATCCCTCGAACGGCCTGCTGAGCACCTAGCTCGCCTTATTGCTGGTGTGGTGATAGCTGGTGAACTCTCGCTTCTAGCTGCACTGGCCACCAACGATCTTGTAGAGGCGCACATGCGCTTAAACAGGGCAGCGGCAGCGGTGGCTGCGGCAACCGCTGGACAACCAGGGGCAGAGGAGGACGAAAATGATCGGTTGGGAAACACTGGTCTCCTCTTGTCTAATGCAAAAAACTTCGGCATGTGATTTTGGGAATTCCTTTTTTTTTCATACAACGACCACAGTATTCAAGCCATCGCATGGCATCTACTGTTAACAAGATTTTTATTTTTAAAATTTTGAAGACTATTTTGGTGCACCAATGTATAGTGTTTGCAACTTGTGTTTTGCACACTTGATGCTCACTTGTGGGGACATTAATTTTGTAATCGGTCTTTCTAAAATAGCGACTTTGTTGATTTTAGTTAGCATCAGCATAAACTGCTGGAAAGCTGAGTCTTCTTTTTCATTTGGCCAACACTGATATCATCCACCTGTAGTAATTTGTCTGCGACCTCAGATTGTTTCTCGACTAGTGGCATTTCATGCTTCTTTGCTAGCATACGGATTAGCGGATTAGCGAAAGTGTCGAAGTGACTTGGTTCACATCCAAAGTACGTTCTGCAGGGAATAAGGCGTTTGATCGGTTTGACAACGTATTAGGTCTTCATGCTTGCATCCTGGTCGCCATTTGGCAGAGTGTATTACATTATGCTCAAAAAAAAAATGCTTATCAATTTTTGAGCGATGAACAGAGACACGTCGACCGCAGCCTAGTGGTAGAATTCGCATTTTTACTCATGC